TGGAGTTGGAGTAACCAATGGCTATGAACTGCCATGTGGGTGCTGGGAACTGAACTTGGGTTTTCTGGAAGAATAGCAAGTGCTCTTAACCACTGAGTCATCTTTCCAGCCCCCAAACTGTTTTTGACAAGTGTCATTTAATTCTGGGGAAATCCTTTGAATCATGCAAGTATGTGTGGATTAATAATGCATGTCTAGGGTGCAGAAATTAGTGACTTGTGTGATCTATGTGGGCATAGGTGGTTTAACTGCAGCATACATGCTAATACAGTAGCCACCAGCCACTGTGGCTAAGTACATAAGTTAATTAAAAGGAAATTAGATGAAAACTCAACTCTTCTGTTGCTTTAGCCACCTCTCAAGCTCTCAGTGTATCGAGAACACATGCCTAGACATTTCCATTGTTGGAGAAAGACCTTCTGGACAGTTCGGAGCTCAAGCTTGCAGAGTATGGTTACTGAGCTATCTTTGGCCCACAGCTTGTTTTTATAAATAAAGTTTTATTGGGACAAAGCTGTGAACCATTTATCAATCTATTATGTTTGGCAGTTTTCACACTACAATGGCAGAGTTGAGTATTCAGAAAACTGTGGTCTTCGTAACTGAAAATATTTGCTGTGTTGCTCTATCCAGAAAAAGGTTGTATTGTTGCCCTGTTTCTGAGATATATCAAGTACCATGTTGACAATTGAGTTTTTTGTTGTTGCTATTTATTTATTTTTATTTTATGTGTGTGTTTTACTTGTTTGCATATAAGTGCACCATGTCATGCAATGCCTGCAGAGATGAGAAGAGGGCGTTGGATTCCTGTAACAGGAGTTACATATGGTTATTAGCTGCCATGTGGGTACTGGGAAGCAAACCCAGGCCCTCTACAAGAGCAGGCAGTGCTCTTAACCACTGAGTCATCGCTTCAGCCTTTGTTGACAACTGCTTTTTGTTTGTTTGTTTGCAGTGCTGGGGATAGAACTAAGGGCCTTGCACAAGCTAAGAAAATATTTTAGCACTGAATTACACCCTAGTCCCCAAGTACCATTCAGATGGAAGGTACTGGAGTCTTTGTGTTTCTGATATGGGAAATGCCTCAGGTAGCTTTGGTTTTCTCTGTCTCTTTCTGTCTCTGTATCTCTATCTCTCTCAGTCTCTGTCTTTCAGTTTCTGTCTCTCTCTGTCTCTGTCTTTCTCCCTCGCTCTGGTTTCTCACATGTGTAGGTGCATGCACCTGTGCCTCATGTATGGAGGCCAGAGGAGGATGTTGGGTGTCCTGCTCTATCACTTGTCATCCTAACCCCTTGAGTCAGAATCTCTCACTTAGTCTGAGCTGGCTGTTTCTGCTAGTCTGGCTGGATAGTGAGGTCCTGGATCCACCGGTCTCTGTCTCCCTCAGCTCTGGAGTTGCAGGTGTGCACATGCCCAGATCTTTACATGGGTTTTGGGGATCAAATTTAAGTTCTCATGTTTGAGTAGCAGGCACTCTCCCACTGAACCATCACCCCACCCTGGTCTGCTTTAACTTCTTTTTTTTTGTCTTTTTGAGACAGAGTCTCCTTGTCGCCTCAGCTGTCCTGGAACTCACTATGTAGACCAGGCTGGCCTTGAACTCACAAAGATCCGCCTCTGCCTCCCAAGTGCTGGGATTAAAGGCGTGTGCCACCATGCCCGGCCTTTTAAGTTCTTTAATGCACCCTTATATATCTGTCATCCATGAATTGAATTTCTAAAGGAAATTTTTGCTTAACCTTGAAAGCCAATACACAGATTTCCTTGCTTTTTCTCAAAACACCTCCCACATTATGTTCTTCTTTATTTTATTTTTATTTTTGGTCTTTTTGAGACAGAGTCTCCCTGTAGCCCCAGCTATCCTGGAACTCACTATGTAGACCAGGCTGGCCTTGAACTCACAGAGATCCTCCTGCCTCTGCCTCCCGAGTGCTGGGACTACAGGCATGCACCACCACGCCCGGCTTATTATTATTATTATTATTTTAAGATTGTGTGTGTGTGTGTGTGTGTGTGTGTGTATACGTGTGTGCAGGTACCCAGAGAAGCCAGAAGAGGGTCAGATTACCTGGAGCTGGAGTTACAAGCATCTGTGATCTGCTTGACATAGGTGCTGGGAACCAAACTCAGACCCTCTGTAAGAGCAGCTTGCTTTCTTAGCTGCTGAGTCGCCTCCAGTCTCAACACTCTCTTCTTTAGTCCCCTTTTCCAGTGCATGAAGGTTAGGCATGAAAAGTCGGAATATTATCTGTGCTATGTGTGGAGTCCTGTGTGATCCATCCCCTGACACACCATGGACAGCACTGGAGCACTGGGGGGACAGCTCCTGCCTGTCATGGAGTGCTCACATGATAACAGAACTGCGTGCAGGTGTGTGCTCTTTTTGATATTGTTAATGCACCTTCTGGGGCCCTGGGCCAGAACTGAGAGACATTACAGCCTATTACTGAGCCCTAGTCTCATGAGTTTCCCTCCACTTCTGCCTCTCATTCCTTCTAGAACCTTCTCCTCTGGCGCCAGGGTCTGGGTAGTCTTACCTAGTGCGTCATGGGCGGGCAGTACATCAAAGTCGATGCTTTCATTGAGACTCTTGGATTTCAAGGTGAAGCTCAGAACCCTGGGGGCCTTCCACTTTGAAATCTCAAACTTCACCTCAAAATCCCTGGTCTGCTGGCAGGCTTCTAGCTGTTTCTGGATCTCCTCAATGATTTGGCTGCGCTTGGTTTTCTGGGATTCATAGCTGTTCAGTGAGCTGAGGAACACGATGATGTCGACATCCGAGCCATCCTTCAGGGCAGTGCCTTTGGCAGTCGATCCCCCCTAGGCAGGAAGGGGAGGTAAGAGAGAGCATCCCTGGCCCTCAGCTCCCTAGCTTTTTAGTCCTGAACCAGGGAAGGGCCTGCACTCACCTTGACAACCTTCAGGACCTTGGTGGATGATTGTTGGAAATGGTTTTCTTCAAGGAAGTTGTGGATGATTTTAACAGCTTTGGAGATCTGATCTAGGAACTTCTTACTGGGCTGGAGGAAGTCTTTGATGAACTTGTCCAGAAGGTGGTTTGGGGTGCTGAAGAGTGGGGCGGGCTGTGGAGGAAAGATCCAGGTGAGCTCTGCCTGGGAGCCCTGCCCAGGAGCCACCCAAAGCTGCCTTCCCTGCTCACTGCTGCCTCTCTCCTGCTCCCAGCTGTGGGCAGAGCACTTCCTGTCTCTGGGCCTTGTATTTACATATCCCAAGAATGTACTTGAGATGCGAGGCAGCACCTAACAACCCCCCAGAGCAATTCCTCTGGGATTGTAGAATGCAGACATGGGAGGTGTCCTGGGCAGGCCGAGGCCACACCAGGATCCTCAGAAGAGGCAGGAAGGTGGGTTAGACCTGGACAAGGAGTTAGAAATATAGAAGTAGAGAGGAGGAGATGCTGGGCTTTGAAGATGGAAGAAGGTGTCAGGAGCCAGGACATCAGGGCTGCCTCAAGAAGCTTGAAAAGGAAAGAGCCTGCCAATTCCCCAGTTCCAGCACAGTCAGGCAGTGCTCCTCTAGAACTGTAAGATGATAAACCTGGGGTATACATTTTAAACAGCAGCAAGGGAAGGGAGGACAGGGTTCTAAGCAGATCCTGCCCTTGTTGCTGGAAAGCACTGGCAGGGGCCAGGGCAGTTCATTTGAGGGCAGGAGGGGTACTCAGGTCCACAGTCCCAGATGATCTTGGTCCCCCCAGACATTGTGATCCTCATGATTGCTAAGGATATAGTCTCATTGACAGCAGGCTCATGGCCAGACCCACCTCTCCCACAGCACAGACAGTGCGGGGTGTGGGTTGTTTGAGTGATATGCATGTGTGAGCGAGTATCATCCAAGAGTGTGCACACGGGGGAGCGCACACACATGCAAGGGTGTGTATGAATATGTGTGTGAGCATTCTGTATGCCAGTGTGAGTGTGCACGTGAGTATAGGTTCTGTGTAGGTACATGAGTATGCATGTGACTGTGGGTGTGTACATGTGAGTGTAGAGCTGTGACTGTACATGTGTGTTCATGATGTGTGCATGTGTGAGAATGTGAGCACCTGGGTACAGGGGTGTGTGTGTGCAGACCAAACTCCAACATGTTTTGGAGGGTCACAATCAACTCTTAGCACCACTGAGAAGGGAAAAGGGGACAAAGAGAAAGGTAAGGGCCCTACAGAAAAGAGATAAATTAATTTCCACAAAAGCAATAGCAGGGGGCTGCAGAGGTGGTCAGCAGTTAAGGCTGTTCTGCCAGAGGACCTGGGTTCAGTTCCCAGCATGCACATGGCTGCTAACAACTGTCCATAACTCCAGATCCAGGGGATCAAATGCCCCCTTCTGACCTTCGTGTACCACATGATATAGATGCACTTACATATACATAGTCAAAACACTCATACACATAAAAAGTAATAAAAATAATAGAAGCAATATCAGGAGTAGGGAGGTGACAGACACACACTCACATATGCACGTGATCAGGACCTCACAGGAAATGCCATCAAGATAAGTGGGGGTCAGGGTTGGAGAGGTGGCTCAGTGGTTAAGAGCACTGACTGCTCTTGCAGAGGACCAGGGTTAAATTCCCAGCACCCACACGGAGGTAACAACTGTCTGTAACTTCAGTTCCAAGGGATTCGATGCCCTCTTCTTACCTTCGTGGGCATTAATGACACAGGTGCACCAACACACATGCAGGAAATATACTCATATACATAAAATAAAAATAATAAATGAAATATTTTTTTCAAAAAAAGATAAGAGGGGTCACTGGGCCCCAACCCAGTATGAATGCTGTTCTTAGAAAGAGAAGTGGGGTCCCCACATAGTCCCACACCAAGGAAAGGTGGTGTGAAGATAGGGCAGACAGGCGACAATGGAGGCAGACAGGTTGGGTGCTGATGTCACAAGCCAAGCCTGGGATCAGGACTGTCCCTGAGAACTCCCCTAGAGGGCACACTCCTTCCCTGCCCCTTGTCTTTGAACTTCTAACATACTGATCAGTGGGAGAATAAGTTTCTATTGTTTTAAACCATACTGAGTGTGGGACTGTGTTACAGAAAACCATAGTCAGAAAACCAAGACACAGTGTCTCCAATTTGAGTTTCTATGTTCAGAGAATGGTCCCTGCAGGATAAAAAACCCTCTTACCATAACATTCCAGCATGGCGCAGGTGACAGAGAGGACTTCGGGAACAGAACCTCCTTTGCCAGTAGCTGCCGGAAGTGTTTGTCTTGGCCCAAATTATTAGTTGGGTCAGTTGGATCCAAGATGATTGGTCTAGGAATTGCATCAGATTAAAATAAATCGGAGTCTAGGACGATAACTCAGTGGTTAAGAGAGCTTACTGTGCACTCAGGAGGACCAGAGTTCAGATCCTAGAACCCATGTAACAAGACAAGCATCCTCCAACCCCAGCTCCAAGTGGAGTGGAGACAGAAGGATCTCTGGGATTTGCTGGCTTCCTGTCTAGTCAAGAAAACATGAGCCCCTGCTTGAGGAAGAGACCCTGCCTCAAAGGGATAGATGGAGAGTGACAGAGCAGGACACGCAGTGCCCTATCTGTCATCCATGCATGCATGCAGAGGTGTGCACCTACACAGATAAATGCATACTCTCATATATATGTGCATACACCCAAATAAATGAATAAGTCTTTAAAAAATAAACTGGGCTCAGGAGATGGCTTAGCAGGTAAACGTCTGCCTCACAAACATGAGGACCTGAGTTTGAATCCCCTAGGCTCATGCAAAAACCCAGGCACACTTATAATCCCAGGTCCAAGGAAATGGAGACAGCGGGATTCTGGGGGTTTGATGACCAGCCAGTCTAGCCAATCAGTGAGCACCAGCTTCAGTGAGAGACCCTGACTCTAAAAATAAGGTGGGAAGCAGGAGTGGTGGCACATGTCTTTAATCCCAGCACTCAGGAGACTGAAGCAAGTGGATCTCTGTGAGATAGAGGCCAACCTGGTCTACATAGAGAGTTCCAGGCTAGGTGGAGCTACAGGGAGACCCTGTCTCAAAAAACCAAAAACCAAAGCAAAACAAAAAGGCGGAGAGCAATAGAGGTAGTCAATTTTTGGCCTCCACATGCACCTGTGCCCACATGCATGTGCGCATGCATGCACATACACAATCATGTTAGAAGAAAGAGGCCTTGAGCAGAAAGCTGTCAGCGGACTTTGATGCTGTGGTTCCTCTAAGCTGCTGCCAGGCTCTGTGGTACCCAGTCTCTCTGACTCTGCATGCTCTGCTGTTCAGGGATGCACATGGTAAAACAATATGGCTTCCCTCTTCCTCTGAATTCCCTTCTTTCTCTTTTTATTATAGTTTGTTTTAGGCATAAAACCTGACAATGGTTCAGAGTGTGAAACACATTGACCAGGCCTCTGTTTGCAGACAGGCCCTCTTCCCCTGCTCACAGAGGCTGTCACTCCTCAGGTTTTCCCTGGCTGCCAGTGAGGGCTCAGAGCTCATTCTCTACTGGACCCTGGTTTGCAGGTGTGGAGATCAAGAAGCTAGGTACCTTTCTGAGCTGAGCTGGCACAGAAGGGTGTTGCGGATGGTCTCATTCTTGAAGTTATAATTGACTGTCCAGTAGACACACAGCTTGGCCTGCTTCCTGATGAATCCCAGCATGGTCTTGAGGCCTACCGCCATGTCAAAGTCTTCAGCTTGGCAGCCCTGCTCCCAGGCATACACAATGAGCAACTCCAGCCCTTACCAAGGCAGAGCAGAGGAAGGTATTAAATGATTCAGGTTCTGAGAAAGAACAAGGGTAGAGACCAGAGTCCAGAAGAGCTCACTGTCCCCCATCTGCACACCTGGAAGTCAATGTCCCAACACCATCACATGCTGATGAAGGCATGGAGCACCTGGAATGCTCACACTGTTCCTAGGAGTGGAACTTGATACAGTTTGTGTGTGGGGGGCATGTGTGTGAAGGCTCACGTGTGTATAGGGACCAAAGTTGAGGTAGGGTGAGACAGGGTCTTCCTGTAGCCCCAGCTGACCTGGAACTCACTATGTAGACCAGTGTGGCCTCAGTCTCACAGAGATCCACCTACCTCTGCTGCCCAAGTGCTGGGGTTAAAGGTGTGAACCAACCATACCCACCTTCCACCTTATTTTTTGAAACAGGGTCTTTCTTTGAATCTGGAGCTCACTGATTGGCTAAAGTGGCTGGTCTGTAAATCCCAGGGATCTGCCTGTGTTCACCTCCCCAGCACTGGGGTCACAGATGCACGTGGCCATGTCTGGCTTTTACATGAGCGCTGAGGATCCAAACTCCGGTTTTCGTGCCTGAACAGTGTACACTTTACCCACTGAGCCATCCCTTTAGCCCTCTGTGTAGTGGTTTAAAAAAAACTATTTGACACTCCTTACTAAAGTTAAACAGTCTCCACACATATTTCACATAGATTCCATTTATGAAACTATGGACACATGCCTACATCCTGTCTGGGGCTGTGTCTGTGCACATTAGAACTCAGCAATTCTACTTCTGCATAGTTACCAAGAGAAGTGAGTGCTTAGATTCACAAAAGTCGTGTTTTTGAACATCCAGTTTCCCAATTCACAGTAGCTTCAACTTGAAAATGATCCAAGGGCTGGCAGCAACAGAGAGAAAACACTTGTTGTATTGATACAATGGCAATGAAAAGTAGTTACTACATGTAACAATGTAGACAGATCTCTCAGACTAATGTGGACAAACTGTGCACAGTAAGAGTCCATTTATAGTGTTTAAAAATAAGTGAGGGCTAGGCGTGGTGGCGCATGCCTTTAATCCTAGCACTCAGGAGGCAGAGGCAGGCAGATCTCTGTGAGTTCAAGGCTGGCTTGGTCTATATAGTGAGTTCCAGGACAGCTGGGGCTAAAGGGAGACCCTGTCTCAAAAAAGACA